TTGGCGACTACTTCAAAAACGACCACTGTTATTCTTGATATAAAAAAATTTCTAATGCTCCAAAATCGAAAACTTTTGTCCAATTCAACTGACCATGTAGATCTTACCGTTTCCAAGATATCCAACAGGGGATCAGCTTAAATAACGGCCTGTTTATTGACTTCTAGGTACTCCTCCTGTGTTTGGGACAAGCAAATTGATGGATTTTGAATTAGAAATGGGCTTTTTCGTAGGAGGATCGAACAAACTTGGAGAACCAATCCCTGTTGAGAAAGCGCATGAACATATTTTTGGATTCGTCATCATGAATGACTGGAGTGGTGAGTTTAAAAAAATAGTTTATTTCATTTTGAATCCATGAATAGTATGAAACCAATCGGTTGTTAGAACAAGTGATCAGGTCATTTGCAATTGAGGAAAGAAGCAGTGGAATGTTAGCACAGAGAAAAATGCTATCGTTATTCTTCGAGACTGCATCAGTGTTTAGTTGCTAGGTTGATTACTCTGTTCAGATTCAGTAGGCCAGAAGTTAGTATACGTCTTATGTTTTCCACTATGATATCATATAGTGTTTGTTTAACCTCATAAATTTATTGCCAATGATATTTCTCACTAGTCTAATATTTCAGGCTATCAGATACTGTTTTTCATGTGTGACATCCTTCCAATATGTTAAAAATAGGTCTATTGATATGATGAAATCGAAAAATCAACATTCGATTCGCATTTACATCGTCATGTTCTCAGGAGAAACTTGTATGCGAAGTTACTTTGTGGCGAATTTTAATGTATAAAATATAATGAACTTTGGTAATGGCATTGTGGTCATTCAAATATATACAAAAAAAAATCAGTATCTCATTTTTATGACTAAAGCGACTTTGAAATTCATCGTTATGAATGAATATGGGCCATCAATTCCATCATGTTGACCAAGTGACTAAAACATTGAGGAGTACACTTTATTCTCACAAAATATACTAGATACCTCGCGAATGAAAACAATTCATTATGCAATTATAGAGTCTCGTCTTGCATATGGAATAGTAGGCTGGGCCGGAGTAGCAACATCACATTTGAAAAAATTTGATGTTTTACAAAAAAAATTTCTAAAAATTCTCTTCAGAAAACCATCACAATACTCATGGGAAACACTTTTCAGGGAATCAAAATTGCTCGACCTCAGATAACTTTACTTCCTAGGAAATGTTGTGAAACAACACAAAAAACGAATAAAACTGGTTCATGTTATTCACGAACCCAACATATTCCTTATATTTTTGTATATTTTTTCTTATGCTCCTTCAACCGCAACATTACATTACTCAAGTGTTCCTTGAATGCCGCAAAAATGTCTATATGTCTACGAGTCAAATACACTATTTAGTGTCTAATGTCACTACTCCGCTCTTTTTTTTTGATATTATATTTATAATTATTCAATGACCATACACGGTGAAAGAACACCCACGCCCAGGCAAGGCCTTAGTAAGTGCTCCTTCATCACTAAAATTATTTATACCACGTAAGAACATTGTTGAAACTACCTACTAAAATGGGAACTAGTAAAGTGGGACATTTATTTGCCAAATATTTTTATAAGATTCTTTCCATCATCAATAATGGCACATTTCACAGCCTAACATTTTTTGTAATTTTTATACTTTTGAGATGTTTGCATTTTCATTTTAACGTTTACCATTTTTACTTTTTTGCATTTTATTTTTACATATTACTTTTCAACATTCTTATATGATTATATTTTTACATTTTAACATTTGTAACATTTAAGATTTCCACATCTTTACATTTTACTCTCACTATTCTGATTTATAATATGAATATTGTGAATAAAACAGTAATACAGGGTGTCCTTTGTGGGTTTCCTGAATTTGTTCAGATTGTTCAAATTGTTATTGACTGATCCTTGTACTGAGAATTAAATAAATCCATATTATTATATTATATGCAACCTTGCAAAACCTGCAACCTACAATTTGTCAAGAATGTCCAATGTAAATCCTTCAAGAGGGCCTAGCACAATCGAAAATATTTTTGACTCAAAAATGATAAGGATGAATGAATGAACTATAATTTATTTGTGAGTTTTCACTGTTCTTGAACACCATAGTGTCAGGAGGGATGATGGTAAGCTTAAAAGTATAACAGTTATTGAGATCCTGCAATTTGGTGAGAGTAATTTTACTTGTACAAAAAAATATCAGATGTTGTGTATTGCTCTGAAACATACATTTTACTAATGTGAATGTTTTGTCACAACTCTCTCATTATGGAAACATCGATAGATATCAATTTCTTCAAAAACATTTAAATTTTTCTATTTATTTCTAGAGGATTTACCAACTTTTTGTTGTTTTAGCGAAAGGTTCCAATGTTTCGACCACCGTATGTCGTTCAAATTACAAATATTTGTATTGGACTGCAAAACAGCAACTTGCTCATCATACCATTACAGGCTGTAATGTAAATCCTGGAGATTTGATGGCTAGTGGAACCATCAGCGGAGAGGTGAGAATTAATTATAACTTACTGTTGAGCAATGAATCACAACTATACTACTTTGTCAAAAAAAAGGTCCAGGAATTGGTCAATATAACGCAATATATGAAGTATACATCCAAATTTATTGTATTTCCTTCCTTTGAAATACACTTGCGCCACTGAAGAACACAATCATGAAAACATTTTTCAAACGCATTTTTTGGCACTCGCATTCGCACTACCTGCGTATTCTCTTTTATGTTATCTATGAGTTTTGGAGATAAAAAAATCGACCGGAGCCATATCAGGTGAATAAGATAGCTGCTCCATGAGCTTTGTTGAGTTTTTGGGCAGAAATTCGTGAGATGGAGCAAAATCCATTAGTTTTTTTCCACATATTTGGTATTTTTCTACGAATTTACTCTCTCAAACGCCGCGTAACGCCCAAATACCCAGTACACTACACTGCAAAAATGTAAAAAAACTACTAACATCACCTTCACGTTTGAAGGTGATGAGGTGTTTTCGGTTTCGGCTAAGTTGGAAGGCACCATTCCGAAGCATCTTGATTGATTTTATCAACGTTATCAAAAATCATTGAAATACTAGTCAAAAGTAGGATAGAGGGTTTCTTGGAAAAACATTAAATTGTAGCTCCCGTACAGTTTGACTTCCGACACAAAAAAAACACAAGTGACGCTGTCTTTCATTTCCTCAAAAACGTCTACACGACCCTAAATGATAAAAAAATGGCGGCGGCAGTATTTCTGGACCTTTCTAAGGCATTTGATTGCGTGGAACATGAAATCCTGCTGCAGAAACTTTTCCATTATGGATTCCGGGAACAGCCTTAGAATGTTTCAGATATTATATTACTGGTAAAAGTCAAAAAATAACATTGAGCAACAACACTTTTGATAGTGGAAAAATTGTACGCGGTGTTCTGACACCTCAACTAACACGTCAAGAAGAGTACTTCGACCATGCCACTGAAGATGACTGTCGCAGTTGCTGTCGAAACGTTTGGAGATTATAATCAAAGAAGACCACAGCAAAACCCGGAAACCATCAAAAACATACTCAAAAAAAGTTGTATAACTACCTGAAAAACTTTCTAAGCCATCATGTGTCTGATAAGATCAATTCACCAGTATAGTCACAGTAAACAATATTGTGCATATTTAAAGTTGGCGGCACTCTCAAAGGCCACGAAAACCAATACACAGAAAGCCGAACTAGTCTACGTGGACTATAGACTTGGCGGTTCGTATTAGATAATTTTTACTATCCGCGTTTTATGATTGGCTGAAGAGTCATAAAATTAAATTTGAAGTCAAGTTGCTGTGACGAATAGAAATCGGGGAATGCAGGGATGGTTATCGCCGTCGTGTTCAGTTCATGAACTGAGTGTTGAAAATCGATATTGGTGCAGTTATAATTACTTGAAATGTTTGTTATCTTTGGACAAGTACTAATGGTAATAACGAGTGTGATAACAATGCAGATTTTTTCCAGTGTAGTGATTCCAATAGCGATGGTGAACAATGAATAAGACCAGTGAATAAGATTCGAATGCATTTGAATATTGAAACACAGAGAGAATGTTTCAATGTATATAAGAATCTACATCTCAAGTTTGGTTTCTAGGGAAATAAACTATTACAAGCAACATCAGATTTCACCGAAATTCCTTTCTCAACTGTACGTGAAATAATCAAAAACAAATCTTATGAACGCAGGACGCGATCTGATACAGGATAACCAAAACCTTCAGATGTTCATCTAATAAAATCATTGAAAAAAACAGTATTCAACTGTTACAAAAGCAATGAGATTCCTACAACTGAAATCATAAGGAAGAAATTGAATACTTTCAGTCATAACGTGAGCTGATGTGACAAAACTCTTCAAAATTGGGTAAAGACACTAGGATTTGGATTAAGAATAATAAACAAACATCGAGCAGTTATGGAAAGCAGAGGAATAGTGGAATTGCGTAACAAATACTTAGAACAAATAACTAAATATAGACAAGAACAACGGCAAATGTTCTATTTGGACGAAACTTGTATGACACTCATGACACAGTTACAAAAGGGTGAACTGATGGTTCGAGAATGTATACGCCTAACATGCCTGCAAACAAAGGATTGCGACTAATCATGGTACATCGCGAAAGAAGTAAAGGATGGGTTCCGAATCCTTTGAAATTATATGGCATCAGGCGTAAAAATAATTTTTTATAATTTGATAAGAAGGTAATAGAGCATAAAGCCAATTAAGGAAGAAGTATCTAATATTACCGAAGAAGTCTGGCAGAAAAGGATTGAAAAAGTAATTTTAATTAGCTCCCTAACTATATTGAACTATACCTTTTTCATTTACGTAGGTAAAAGTTAATATGATCCAAATTGTGTAATTGTGGAAGAGCTATTTCTGACTTGTTTTCGGTTTTGTAAACCGTCTAGGAAATTACGTGTAATTTTTTTTTACTGAATACTAAGATTTTTTTCACGCCCTCGGATATTTTAAAATACCTCGCCTTCAGCTTGTATCGATTTTCAAAATTTAGTATGACATTACAAGTAATACAAGCGGCAATTTGTGCCTTTTTGAAAGTTTTTTGCTTTATCGATCATATTGTAATATAGTGCCTTTTTTAGACATCAGATTCGTTTGGATCCATGCTGGAGCTCTCTTGGAAAGGGACCAAGCCTTTGACCTTACTGGATGGATCTCAGAGGAAGTTCCTACTCGATGGCGACACAGTTACAATGAAAGCTTCTTGTCAAGGAGATGGTTTCAGTATAGGATTCGGGACTTGTGAAGGAATGCTGCTGCCCCCCAAAACGTTAAACTGGCTTTAGTGGATCCAGATTACTGTTGAACGATGTATTGTTTTGAATTAAATTTTTATATTCTTCCTATTGGATGGATTTTTTGTTAATTATAAATAATTAGAACCTAGACTTTCACGGCCAGATGCACGATACAGAATCCTGGCTAGTAGGCCTTAGTCGAAAGGAACTCTTCAGAGGTGTATGCGTTGACTGCGAAGCCGATTGGCTGGAAAGCACCATGCTTGATTGCTTGATAACGTTTATTCATTATTTAGGGGTTAGTAATTTACGATGTTTTTTAATATTTTGTTGGGACCCTGCTATAGGCTTATGCCTCTTCAGGGTTTACAATTATTATCCTATCTGTGTTAGTGTAGATTTTTCTTAGAAATATTAGATGTATTATAAATTATAAATTCGGTTATCCTGGTTCTTGGCTGTGGTCGGTGTTCATGGGAGTGTAGATTTGTGTAGAGTCTGAGGTGTTGTTGGTTTCATTTGAGTTCTAAGGGTGTTCCAGGCAGTGATTTTCCGCTATCTGATGGCTAATGGATACTCCTCAAGGATTTCTGGATCTGCTCCGTTGGGGTTTCCATTAACCCCAGGAGTCTGGCTGGAGGGAACGGTAGCTTTTTCCGTGGTATCCTTTTGGCACCTCCGCGGGGCCTCCATGGAGTGGTAAGGAAGTTGATGGCCGCGATGTTTTGGCTTCTTTTAGTTCTCGTAGAGAACTGAGAGTTCCTGAAATCTCAAATTGATCGGGGTGATGTCTATTTGATTGTATAAGTCGTGTGACGGATATCTGAAGGGGAGGTTTCTAGGATTTTTCTCTCGGTTCTTACTATTTGGTGGATTTGTCTTTGGGAGAGGGTGCTGTAGATAGTGGCTTTGTAGTCCACGACCGGTCTTATGAAGGTTTTGTATGTGTGTAAGAGAGTCTTACTGTTGCATCTACCGATCTTGCCTCTTAGCACTTTTAGATCAGCCCTTTTCCGGACTCTGCCCAGAGTTTCTTTGAGGTCGGTCTCCCAGTTGAGGGTACTTGTGAAGGTAACCCCCAAGTAGGACACCGAGATTTGAAGGTGGAGGTTCTCTCCCAACAATCTGAGGTTCAAGTCGTTGGTATTAAGTTTAAGACGGGTGGTGGTGTTTGGGTGTCTGAATAGGATTGTTTGGGTTTTGAAGGGATTAATTTTGATTCGCCACTTGTTGCACCATCGCTCATAGTGGTCAACCATTGTGTGGGTTTTTGTTTGTAGGATGTGGGTACTAGTTGCTGATGTGTATAGGATTGTATCGACTGCATATTGCAAAATTTTTTGGGTGGAGGGTGTGTCGTGCACATAAATTAGGAATACTGTGGGTACAAGGATAGAACCTTGGGGGACTCCGGCTTTGGGAGTGAATGGTAGAGACAGAGTTTTGCCGACTTTTACGCGGATTCGTCGGTTGGTAAGATAGGAAGCGACTACTCTGATGAAGTGAGGAGGAAGTTGGATTTGAATTAATTTCCAGAACAGGCCCGCGTGCCAGACTTTGTCGAATGCTTTTTCTGTGTCTAGGAGGATGGCGACTGTACCAAAGGAAGAATTGATGTTCTGGGAGATGTGTGTATTCAATTTGACTAGCGCGTTTTGGATAGAGTGTTCTGGTCTGAATCCATGTTGGTGTGGAGGGATGATATTGTTTTTGTGGATGAAGTGATTTAGTCTGTTTGTAATTGAACGTTCTTAGAGTTTGCCGAGGACATTGAGAAGATTGATGGCCCTATAGGAGTTAGGATTGGTGTGGTCTTTATGGGTTTCTGGGATCAGGACAGTGTTTGCCTGTTACCAGGCAAGTGGGAAGTATGCATGTTCCAAGGATGCGTCCAGGACGTGTTTGAGATGTGTTAGGGCGGAAACGGGGAGGTTTTTCGAAATTTGACGTTTTATGGAATCGGGTCCAGGGGCTGTAATTTTTCCGTGATGGATGGCTTGGAGGATATCTTCCTCACATCTTCCTCTTAGGGGACAGTTTGGGTCAAGGGGGATTTGACCGGGATGTCTTCCCAAATGGGCGTGGACTTGTTGTTGAATGAGGTTTGAGTGTCGATTGTCGAAATGGATATCTTTAGGAAGTTGAAACGTGCGTTCTAGATTTTCTCGGAAGACTTCTACTTTATCTGGTGGACTGGATATGATGTTGCCGTCAATCTCGAGGTGACTGACGAATTTCTGTTTTTGTCCTCTAATGGCTTTGAATGTGTGCCAGAAAGCTGCGCCGTCTCGGTAGTCTAGTCTTTTCGTTGCTTCTATCCACCTTTTTGGGTGAACTGGTTGATGAGAAGCACCGTGTTCACTCGTATTTATATATCAGTAGACTGAGTAGAGTACGAGATAACACAACGCTCTCCAGAGCAGAAGGTTCTCAATACACACAGAAGAAGGCATCGTCTACTCCAATCAGAAGTAAGCCGATGCATTCGCTAATTCTTTCTGGAGACAGTGTTAAGATAATGATGTCCAATCTATCGACGGAGTGGAAAACATCGAGCAACAGCTCAAACCCTGAACTCCAAATCTCCGAAGACATCGTCAGAGATCTCGCTATCCGAAAAGCCCTAGGACCTCACCAAATTCTGAAACAGGTTCTGAAAGCCCTACTCAGGAAGGAAATAGCGGCTATACCGAACATCATCAGTGTCATACTCTGACTGCAACACTTCCCGTATCCATTTGCTATCATCATGATCCCCAAACCCAACAAGAACCCCACGTCACCTGACAATTATCGGTCGATAAGCTTGATCCCAGTGATAAGCAAGGTGGTGGAACTCGTCTTTTTGGAAAAACTCGAGGACTGGACATAAGAACGGATGAACAGTTGGATTCCGGCCAAAACACTGGAACTGCAACCTCAAGAGTGGTAGACTATGCGAAAAAAGGGTTCAATTTTGTGATGAGCAGATGTGCCCAAGCTAGGAAGCAAATTCAACAGGCTGCGAACGACCTTGAGGTCACCCTAGACAAGAAACTAACATTCAGGCCCCATATCACACAGAAGCTGCGGCTGGCAAAGGAGACGGGTTCTAATCAAGACAACCCTACTCCCCATCATCCTGTGTGCCTCCACTGCATGGGCCAGTGTCCAGGAACATGTAGACTCCAGATCCAAAAGTTTATGAACATCTGCTTGCGGATGGCCGCAAACGCTCCCAGATACTTAACCAAATGACATATCTACACGGACCTAGATCTCACAGTGCAAACACTATACACGCTAGTAGGTAAAAGAAACAAAACATATGAAAAGGGAGTATAAGTATCGGAGGCTGACTTTCAACTATACGAGGTTAGATTACAATCCTCGCTGAAGTGCCAAACATCAGGTTAAATTTCTTGGAATTCAACCCCGGGTGGCATGGTGGTGCTTGCCAGTTGCTCAAACTTCGACGTATAATTTTCGTTCTTGCAGTCAACGTATACACCACTGAAGATGTCTGCCGCAGTAACTCACGAAACACTTGGTACCTTTTGTTCCACGGCATCCCTGCCCGGACTTTCTCCTCTCTAATTAAAGAAGTATTCGCCTTGAAAATAGCTTCTATTTTGATGGTTTTTTTCAAATTTTTGTTTCTTTATATTACTTGAAATCAGAAACATCTTGAAGAGGATATCGAATTATTCATATTTTTTAAAAAAAAATATATAATATTCTTTACAAAAATATCATATTTTTGTGTTATATTGTTCCTGAAATCTCAAATTGATCGGGGTGATGTCTATTTGATTGTATAAGTCGTGTGACGGATATCTGAAGGGGAGGTTTCTAGGATTTTTCTCTAAGAAAGATCCTTCCTTTTTTTCGATGAGGAATCACCTCCTTGAATGTTTTACACTCATTCAGTTACACCTTGTATACGGTTGTTTCAAGTGTTTTGTCCATTTTGTCTCTATAGATATTCATTCTACTATTCTACTGTTCATTTCTGTTATGTTGGCAACATTGGTAACGCAGTGAGCGCTTTGTCAATGTTTTTCTTCCATAGCTTTTTCTGTTCTCGGCTTTGGAATGATTGTAGATATGAGCATTATTGTGTTATGGTGATAAATAAAACATAGTTCCATATGTTTTTGGGTTCATATTAAAACCCCATTGGAAACCGATACCGACATAAAAATTTCTTTCCACATTTTAATTTTTTTGTCTATCTTCATCTTATAACTATATGATATCCTTGAGAGATTTTCGCCCATCTTAAACAGTGCGTGGGGTGGCGGAAGAACTGGACGTCAGCTCTTATGCGATTTTTTATTGTTTAAAACGTATTGGGAAGGTCAAAATGCTGGAAAAGTGGGTACTTTACGATTCAAACGATCGACACAACCAAAACGATCATTTTTTGTATCAAATCGTCTCGTGTGTTGGAGACGTTCAGGACGGTGGGTAGACATCGATGAGCCACCCAGGCACTTCCCAAAGACGAAAACCCTCCAAAAAAAATGTACGCTGTATGGTGGTCAGCGGCTGGTGTGACTCTCAGCAGAATCCTATTATTAAGAAATCGACAGAATGTTCCGAAACAGAAGTCCGAACCTGCTCCACATCAACGGCCATTACACAAACCACCATCCGAAAATTGAACGAATTGAGCGTTGAAGTTCTGTCTCACCCACAATACTCCCCAGACCTTTCGTCAATAGACTACCATCTTCTCAAGCAGTTCGATAGTTTTCTCACAGGGCGAACCTGCCAATCAGGACCAGGCAAAAAAGGCCTTCGTAGACTACATCGAATTCAGATCGACCAATTTCTATGCTGATGAGTTTTTCGACTTGTGTTACGTTGGCAAGTATCGGCTAATTCCATCACGAATTTTTGCCTATTCATCAGTTTTTCTGTTTGTCTGTTGCTCTGATCGTCTGTTTCTTCGCCTATCTGTCTGTCTGTTTGTGCGTCTGGACATACGACGTAACTGATTTAGAAACGGCTTCCACTAATGTATTGTGATAAGCTCCACGTTACATGTAGTTGTTGATTCATATCAATCGGTTCATAGAAAAAAAATGTTACGTTGAAGAATCATGTAAGAGATTCTTCAAAAAAAGTAATGAAAATACTGTTCTGTCGATTTGGCTAAAATTCGAGTTTTCAATAGATATCTATAATTTGAGAAACGATTTTCTCATTGATTGGATATGGACGAATACACGAGAACTTTTTGCTGCAAGAAAATTTGGTAAAACCGAAAAACTGATATCCACGTGAATTTCAATGGAGGATGGCAAAAACTTTTTTTGTATTCCTAGCATCTAATTCCAAAAGTTTGAAAAACAGCGCGTTAACTACGTAAATTACAATTAATCGGGGGATAAATGTATTGAAGATGATACTTTTCCTTTTTTTTTTTGATAGATTTTTTTGCAAGTTTTTTCTCCATTTACAACATCAAAGTATTGAAAATACAAGGGTTGAATCACAATCCGACGTGGAAGATGAAAAACATGCTTTGAAGATTTCGAAAAGAAAATCGTGTCTAGTGGCCGCCATAATCCACCAATGACGTCAAAACGTGGCATTAGTAACAAAGAGCTAGGTTAGGTTAGGTTAGATCTAGAGTGAGTGGGTCTATTCGACCCTCCACCGCAACCCGCATGGGTTTATTGTGGCTCACACCTTTTCACACTCGACCAAATAAACCCAGCTTCTTAACGAAGCATTAGTTTGTATGGTGAGTGGTCTTTCAGGTCAGATGGTAAAAATATGGCTCTGCCGAACTCTAAAAACCTGATTCGGTTCCCAGCGGTGCAGGCACAAATTATACGCGCTGCTGTTTCATCAATAATGAGGTAGTCGGATAGTCAAGGCGCAAGATTCCCACCTTGATACCCGCGACAACCGTCCCATATGAGGGTTTTTTGCACGCCAGTTACACCTGACAATGCCTTACATTCAACTATGCAGGGCTTTTTCGCCCCTGGTCATGGGAGGTTTATTCCTCCACTTGAGACAGATTCTGCATACGCCGCTCAAGAATTTGGTACAAGACGGTTTCATAATGTACCTCACTCTTGAGGAGACGACTCAGTCGTTTCCTAGCTGTACCACCAAACCTTTTTTTTAAGGTTCAGTTATTGGATCAGGAGTTGAAGAGTTGAGAATCTCTCGCTCCTGATCTAAATCAACAGGGAGGTCAGTTGGAGTCGTAAGCTCGACATCCATCTCCTCTGTAGACTCAGCGTCAGAAAGAATTTTTGAGTTTACTCTGTCCATAAAAGTCCCACGAGTAGCTAGGGAAAGAAAGTCAATCACGGCAGAGCCCCGCATTGACCAAATTGATTTTTACATCCTCATTCAGCGACTATCATCGTTTGGCATTTCTAGAAGTTTAATTGATCTTTTTACAAGCTATCTCTTTGACAGAAAGCAATAGATACGTAGAACATGAAGGTTTTCAGTCCTCTTTGTACACACCTAGCTCAGGAGTACCTAAAGGCTTGAACTTGGGGCCCCTTTTATTTCTGCTTTTCATTGATGACCTGGCGAAAATGATGAACTGCCCAAAACTTCTTTACGCTGATGATCTAAAGCTATACAAAGTAATTGACAATTATGAAGACTGCTTAATTTTACAAAATGAAATCGATTTAGTGTTCGACTGGTGTTCCAAGAATCATTTACGTTTGAACATATCGAAATGTTACATTTTATCATTTTCTAGAAAAAAGAATATAATAGAATTTTGTTATGTTATTGACAGCATCCCAGTTAGTCGAGTAAATGAGATGACAGATCTTGGAATCACTTTTGATTATAAATTCACTTTCACTTCCCACATAGACCAGGCTATTTCATCAGCGAATCGAATGTTGGGCTTTATTATAAGGAGTACCAGAGAATTCAAGAATATTAATACGATTATAACACTGTTTAATGCCTATGTGAGGTCTAAACTAGAATACGGCGTGTTAATATGGTATCCAATTTACAATTGGATACCATATTGATCATATTGATGCTGTTCAAAAAAATTTTTTTAAATATCTGTCTTTCAAGGTCACAGGAATATATCCTCAGAGGGGAACCGACTACTCTATCCTGCTGAATCAATTTAATGTAATATCTCTGAATACACGACGACTTTTTGTCACAATCTCCTTTTTTTCACAAACTGCTAAACAATAAGATCTCGTGTGCCCCTCTTTTACAAATGATCAACATCCGCACCCCACGCCTCAATTCCAGATATCAAACGACATTTTACTGTGATCTTGTCAGAACAAATAACAGTTTGAAAGCACCCGTGTCAATACTTTGTAACAACTATAATTCAATATGTGATATGTGCGATATTAATCACAGTTCTCAAAGTCTTATTTTAAAATGTATTCTCACTAGAACATTTTAACTGTGATCCCTTTTTCTTTTCGCTCCTTGTGATATATTTCTATTTCTACTTATTTTTCTTTTAGTTGTAGCAATCATTTTGTTTTACTAATTATACTACTAATTATTGCATATATTTTCATCAACACCTTTGTACATTTCCTGTAATTGGGTGAATGCCTGTTGGAAATAAAGTGCTATCAATCAATCAATCAATCAATCAATCAATCAGTTACCGTGACAAGGCGATGCTACGACGAGAGGGCGCAAGGTATCTTGAAGGTTCCGTAGATTCATCTGATAGGCTCAGTATCATTCATCCTCTCGGCACGGATACACTCACCTCAGGATTAAGACATCGTTAGGATGCCATTTAGTTAGAGAATAACAGGACCACAAGTGATTCTGTCATTCCTGTATCCAGCGGGGCTACGTGGAAGCAGGCATCCGATGGCCGTTTTGCTCAACCGCCACATCCCAAGCTAATACACTAGCCAAAAACAGCATAGACAGTGGTTCAGGCAGTGACAGATGAACAAAGACAGGCAACCCGCCATACTAGAAATTACACCAACTTTAATACAAGCATTGTAGAACCCTTTCTGTAGTTAGAACCCTAGAACTGAGATTTGTGGAGATTGATGAATGTAGTCGTTACTACGTGGTGGATCATAATGAAGAAAAGAGAATTGAAACTTTCTATGTTTATTACCACTTTTATTTGTAACTAACGTTACTGCAGTTTTGTCCTATAAGGACATTTTCAAACTTTTCTTTATAACTTCTTCAAAACTTCAATGTACAAGTTTGAAAATATCCTTATAGGACGAAACTGCGGTAACGTTAGTTACAAATAAAAGTGGTAAAAAACATAAAAAGTTTCAATTACAAATAAAAGTGGTAAAAAACATAAAAAGTTTCAATTATCTTTTCTTCAGAAATATTTTTATTTTCAACTTTTCATTTCAGATCTATAGTAAATGATTCTCAGTACGGCAGCAGTAACAATGGCCAAAAATATATCTTCGAACTCTTCGACTTCAAAAGACAGGACAGATTTAGTAGCATACTGGAGCGTTCCACTTTTGGATGGGGTCCACACGGTCGAATTTGAACACGGAGTCACTAGTGGAAAAAGGGTACTCAGAGTTGATGGAAATGTGAGTGATTCTTTTCCAGCATCCATTATGAGGGAATTTCAATGATAGAATTACTGAATGAAATTGTTGATTTGAAAAAGCAATCGTTTTCAAGTGCATCTGAAAAGCCTAGCTTGGTATACAAATTAGTATCAGAATCCAGTATTGGTGAATGAGCAAAATGATTTCAGTTTTGCAAGTTTGGTATTCACCAAAGAAGAGAAATTATTTCGATAAAGAGTTTACCATTGAATGACCCATATTAGAACAAAATGACTTCAGAGCACATATATTTTTTTTAAGTTGGCTACCCTGTGGATTTGTCATTAATGTCAATTGTCATTTATAGTCGTTGTTTATATTGTCCATTTTTGAGTTTCACTCGCTATTTTCTTTGTATTCATTTTCGATTTAGTTTTCACAATATTTGATTGAAGTAACTTCGTAAAACATTGACATGACAACTGTCAATAGTGACGAGTACACAGTAGCCAACTTAGGTAAAATATATGTGCTCCAAACAAAATCGTTTTCCGATGTGATCTATTAGCCTCCAAACTCAATTTTCATTCAAAATCAAACATTAGGTACATAAATGATGAATCGTCTCAACAAAGAAACATCAATATTGGTATTTCACAAAGGTCAATTTTGAGATCACTAGTATTTTTTCATTTCAATGTTATCAATGAATTGAAAGTTGCCTCTTGTTTCACACGTTTGAAAAAATATATGGGAGATGTTCAAGTGACTTGACACATTTGATTCCACCAAGAGCGGTACATATCAGAAATACACGACGGACTGGGCCGCTCATTATTTTGAGTTTCAACTCAGTACACCTCGAACTTCACTGTTTGAGAACTTTTTCATTCAGAAATGTAAAATAAACTGAGATTGTTTTTCCAAATGAACTGATTCTTCCGCTTGTGCTTTTTCCCTGAAAAACTGAATGTGAACATCTCATTAGTCATTTGGACTCTTTATCTTTTCAGTTGAGGATTCTCAGACATACCCCCAATTTTGATATACTTTACCTGTTTACCTTCATTGGCAAAAAATGCATGAGGAATTAGTATAACTGGTCTGGAAAAAGAAGAGTCGGCAATATTTCCAAAAATATTTTCACTTCAATGATACCATCTGTGTTTATTCAAAACTTGTTTGTATGTTTTCAAAAACAGACAGCAGTACAAAAATTCATAGTCACTAAAAAAGGGCCAGAAGTATAAAAAAATGAATATTTTGAAATGAAATCTAGAAATCTCTTCAAAGGTACCTACACAGAAGGTTCCAGTAAATAACCTGCCGAAAAACAACTACTTTCCAGGCTAATACCATGCTAGATATTGAATTATAGCCAACAGACATTCATGCAAGAAACCTCACAGGGGATAGTCTCACATATTATTTTTATCGATCCAGCAGTAAGAACACGTCTCATTCAGTGAGTGGATCATCTACAGTCCCGTTTCGAGGTACTGCCACTCAATAGTACAGGAAAGATTCGACCCAACCAGTTGTGTGTCTGGGACTCTGCTGACTTCGACGCGGCTCGACTATATGCATGAAACCTTTGTCTAAAAGAAAGGTTTGTTAACTAGTATCAGCTTCATGCTCCATCTCGTGAACAAAGCCCGAAAACCGCGGAAGCATTCTATGCGTGATGGATAATAATAATATTAATCGGTCCCAAATTATTGATGTTTGATATATTGTTGTTTCTGGTTTGGATATGTTATTGATAGAAAGTCTGATTAGGTTAGGTTGGGTCCAAAATTAGTGGGTCTATTCGACCCTCCACCGCAACCCACAAGGGTTTATTGTGGCTCACACCTACTCACACTCGACCAAATAAACCCAGCTTTTTAACGAAGCCGATTAGTTTGTATGGTGAGTGGTCTTTCAGGTCAGATGGTAAGAGTACAGCTCTGCCGAACTCTAAAAACCTGATTTGCTCCCCAGCAGGGAGGCATAAAGTGTGTTTCATCATTTTCCAAACAGAGGCGGCACACATTGTCTTCCGACAGTCCGACTCTCTGCATATGATGATTCAAATGACAGTGGCCCGTAAGAGGGTCTGTTGTACATCGTAATTCATCCCTACTGTAGTCCAACAACTGTTTGGTATCAGGCTTCGAAGGGTGGATAAACACTTTGAAGTGAGCCAATCCTGGAAAATTCTGCCAGAAGTCCATAAATCTTCTTGCTATCCAGGTGTTCAATCTTTGTTTGGCAAAGCGTAAAGCGATGCCGATGACAGGTTCTGGTCTGATGCCTCATTGCCTTCCAGGCCAGTATGGCTTGGGATCCAGACCAGAGACAATCTGTTAAGTGTTCCTATCGAGGAGAGTCGTTTTTGGCAATTTGCTACCAATTTGGACGTTGCTCGGTAGGAGCCAAGAGCTTCCAACGCCGCTTGACTGTCCGAGAATATTTTTATTGACTTGTGTATGAGGTTGGATTCTTCCAATCTCTCCGCATATGATAGAATGTACTGTCGATTTTTTCTAGATATTAGGAGAATTTCATTCTCTGCACATTTGTAAACGATGAAAGTTTAAATAGGTGTTAGATACGTTCACAACAGTAATGTTTCAAGGTATATGCCGTCACTTCTTACCGTATTGGATGTCATAGTAAAAATCGATGGTTTCAACTGGAGTGTTATTTACTATTTGATGAAATGATGTCTGTTCCACCAATGAAATGGTATGACTATTTATATTTTCGGGGTTTTCAGGAAATTCTCCGAAGAGAATGGATGTTCAAATTAGTTGGAGAAGAAATATTTTATCTTGGAAAACAGCAAGCCAAATGTGTCTTGGCAGTTGATCCACTGCCACATTTTGCATTTGCTTATAGTTTATACGTAGATGGAACGCCTTTACGAAAATTCACAGAAAAACAATCCCAAACCATCAGATCATGGGCCGTTATTGCGGGGGGAATGAGGTATCGTGTGGTATTTGGTGAGTATATCAAAATTTACAGAACTTTGGAGGTTCAGGTGGACACATTATTTTTCATTGACGAAATAAACTCATGCAAACGTCACACCCATGCTCAATCCCTAAAGAGATGAGATGGAATCAAAAGATACAGTCTTGCCAGTATCACCCTGGGCGACCCTAGAAAGCTAGCGCCGAAGCAATATCTGGCAATGACCAGGAAAAACCTACGCTTAACATTGGGATTTCCGACTGGCCACTGTCAATTAAGGAAACACCTCCATAGTATGGGACTAGTGGAAACACCTCTATGCAGGATATGTGAACAGGAAGAAGAAACTGTGAGGCATATCTTATGCGAGTGCCCGGAGTTATCGTCAATAAGAGACTGTGTGTTCGGCGAGTCTTGGCCTACACCTGCCGATGTAAAGTAAATGTCTCCTAGAGACCTCTCCATCTTCCTGGAAAGGACAGGATGGGCGATGACCTAGGAGGACAACTCCTCGGGAGGATGTACGGTCACATGTGGCCTAAGTGATGTGGGCATATACTCACCCTCCCTACTCTACAGATACAGATACAGAAGACCTGTTGATGCCATTATGTGTGGAATATAACATCGTTCAAATGTTCGCCACGGCTTCTCTGCATGGATGTAGCGCCTCTGAAACGTCCAATTTTCCATGACTCTGGCACATAAATCAGGATGAATTTGACCGATGGCATGATATATGTTGGCTCACAAGAAAAAGTCTAACGGGATCAAATCACACGATCTCTTTAGCCAGTTTACATCACCAGCACGTGAGATGATCACGCCCTAGCGCTCGTGCAGAATATCCAATGTGACATGAGCTGTGTGGCACGTAGCGTCATCCTGTTGAAACCACATGTCGTTGGTATCCAGATCACCCAATTCAGGCCAAAATAAGTTGGTAATCATCGACCGTTAGTGCTCGCCATTAATAGTGATGACCTTTCCAACGTCGTTCTCGAAAGAAATATGGACCGATGTCGCCGCCAGCCCAAAATCCAAACCAAACAGCGATTTTTTCGGAATGCATTGAACGCTCTTGTGGATGTGGATGTCATGTATGTGGTCTGCGAAAGGCAGTTCTTATGAGCGACGCGAAATCGACATCCTGAGATTATCTTACACACTGTCACAGACTGCGGCGATTTTTTCAGCAGATCTCGCATTTGGTCGACGTAAGGGTGTTGTTCGATTGTTTACTGAACCAGTGGATTCGAATTTATCCACCACATTGCGATTACTCCTCCACGGTAGACGATTGTGGCGACAGTAAAATGGGCGAAGCGCGTGGTACGTTTCCCGAATAGAACACCAAATTTGATGAAACCGTTTCATTATTTGCATGTGTTGTTGAATGCTATATCCGTCCTGGGTGATTTGGCAAAACAAGCAGAATGAATGACAACTAATTTAACAGGTGTAGCTTCAACAATATGGCCGGTATCAATTGTCAAAGTTTGGAAGTTCCTATTGGAAGACCCCCTTTATCCACGATTCCTCTCATTGTCAACTGATTGTCCTTCTTTATTTTCAAAAAATCCTAATAATAAACTAATAATTTTCAGAAAAACAAGCATTGAACGTTTATGTTAACGGACAAATGGTGGATACTGAAAACATTTTCGTTGCTGATGGAGCCGAAATGAATTTTGATTTGGGCACCTCTAAAGCTACCATCAAAGCCGTTTCAACTGACAAGAAAGAAGGAGTCATTCATCAGTTGTATCTGGATGGAAAACTAATAGAAGAAGACATTTATTGACAAATGTGAATTATTCTTGACACTGTGATGCACTGTTTGGAACCTTTGGTGTAGTAATGAATGTTGCTGTAGTTTTTTCCCAACACCAAACCGTTATTTCAACTCACCAAGTGATCATCTTCAAGAGGAAATTTAATCTTCCTCTTGAAGATGATCACTTAGTGATCGAAACACGTGTCGAGGTGTTAAAAAAACAAAACGGTTTCGTGTTGGGAAAAAACTCTAGTAATATTTATTCTTGAAATGTTGAGTCAAATTTGTTTATTGTTGTTTCAGAAAAATGTATATGTGTATATCTAGGCGGAAAAGCAAACTCATTTATGAAAAATTATTACGCTGCAGACATCTAAGTGAAATTAATATATCTTCTGTTTCAATCCCACACAAGTGGCGAATATCAAATTATTTTATCAAACCACATTATTCATAAAAGAGTGCAATTCAACTAGTTAGTCAGCAATTGGTTATCTCCTTTTCTGAAATAAAGACCAAATTTCATTTGCCTATTATTTTCATTATCATTCTGAAATTCATTTGCTGATTCCTCAGATCTCACCATTTCACGAGAAAATCTATTAAAGCTTCCCCTATAAAACAAAATGACTAATTTTGGTCTCTCGAAAAGAAATTTCACGATGTGGTTCATGTTGATATGTATATTTTCGAAAACCATACTTGTATTGGGAAACATGTCGAGATAATGCAGTCATATTAGGAGTTTCACCTCGAAATGAGAGATAATAACCTGTAAACTCGTGTAATCCTTCAGTTTGGTGTTCTGAAAATTGTCTCGAAAATACCTTTCTGTGCCCAAAGCTATTCAAGGTCAAAAGTCGCAAAAATCAGTTTTTCGCGATTTTCTTCATTCACAAGACAATATACATTATATAGAATTGATTTAACTGATACAAATAACTGTAATGAAGCCAAATTGTAACTTTCTCCAATGTTTCAATGTGGACACTGTAGAGAGGATATCAAATCAAAGTGGAAAATATAGTAGTAACAGAGCAAGAACTCTAGAGAAAGATTTACAATTGCGTAATACAAATATAAGTGCTTTAAGAGCTGATGCCGCGACATTATCAACGTGACTGACGAATGTTTTCTATAATATTCAGTTGGAATTGTAGCTATACACAAATCTCATAGTTAGAAATAGTTGTAAATATCTTTAGATCGTCTGAGAAAAGCAAATTTCCACATGGAAGCTCAGAAGTGAGATCATTTCTAAATATTATGAAAGGAAGGGCCCCAAGTTAGACCCTTGCGACACACCAGATGTTGAAATATATGGTGCTGAGCAAGTCTATATTGAAAAATGAATTGGTTCTGGAATTTAAATATGATTGGAGCAGTTGGATAAGAGAAGAGTTGAGAACAACATTGACTTTTTTTTTCAATAGAATGGAATAATTTCATCGAAAGTCTTCGCGAAATTTCATATATTACGTCAACCTGACTTATGGCATCCATGACATCCGATAGTTTGACGTTTGATTATTGACAGATTGGTTACCGTGTACCTAACAGTTGTAATTTTATTATAAAACAACGATAAAAATAAAATATAAACAACAATAAAAATTAATTGGCGCTCCGGGGCGACTTCATTGATTCCAGTGGCGCATTTGCTTTTTCAGCTGCAGGAAAACCCGGAAAAACCTGCAGCACCACATTATTGCTTTCTTAAAAATACGTGTTGGTAAACGGAAATACATGATTAGACTTGCGGAAGTAATTGGTCGTTCAGAGATATTCCGAAGCCCGATTGAAGAATTGAAAAAGTCTTTGCTCGTTTTTATTGACCAAGAAAGTCAGATTGTTTCAATCAAAAAACATGTTTGCAGAGTCCATTCTAAAAAAACAGGGCCAATTTCGGATGTCATTTCATCAGGTTGGTTTTAAAGTGTTATCTGTTTTGATGTCATGTGTTTTTGTAGCTCCAAGTATCAAAATATATCTTGAGTTATCTTGTTTGATTGGAGAGAAAATCCACCATTCGGAAAAATTGTAAAACTATTGACTATAACCTGCAGTCAGTCACAAGATGTATCGCCTAGTGATAATTCAATTGGTATTCTTGAAGTTCCCGTTTTTCGTCGAATGAACTTCCACATGATGAAGTTTTTCCCATATTTGCCTATTTTTATAATATAATTAACAAATTCACTCCCTATTGGGTAGATCTAAGGAAAAAATATGAAAAAGGGAAGGCAAAAATAAGCCAATGAATTACAATCTTTCCACAGTCTGTTGAAATGACTCCAAAGAAGAATTTAAAAGTTCTAAATCCACATTTTAAGTGTTTGCAAGTCTCAAAATTCTACCTATAGACCATTCTGGCCATTGTTGGTGAGATGAAATGGTATGATGAAATATTTCTGTATTTCTTGCTCTCTTTGGATTCATATTTAAAGGTATAAATTCAACAAGTTCCGGAGAAATAATGCTACCATCGATTATTTCGTAAATTAGTGTAGGATCTTATTCTAATCTTCTATGAGCCAAGAGTATTTAAGTTAAGAATGGCCAATATAGTTTTATAGTTATATTAACCAATATGATATCCCAGTTTGTATGCAGAGTACCTTAAAAGCTTGTTTTGAACACTTTCAAGCATATCAATAACCACATTATATGAAAAAACGAAATTGCGGAGTTACATTCGATTATTGATCAAACAATTTAGAAATATATGATTTTGAAGGAAGAGAGCGATATTATTCCTCTGCAGATCTAAGAGAGAAACCTAACATTTGTGGTGCTACAGAAGTAACATTTGCAATATGGGATTTGTATAACATTTTTGGGTCATGAATGATTCCTAAATCTTTGATTGTATTTGTTGTTTCCAGTTGTTTCCAAAATTGCTTGATTTTATATGGAATATTTATGAGATTTTCGTTTCGGAAAAAAATAAGTCAATTAAATTTGTCTATATTCAATTGAAATAAGTTTATTACACACCAGCATAGTTAGATAAACCGTACTGTAATAATTCACCATAGAGAATAACATCATTCTGGTCATTTACAAAAAGGTTGAGAAGTAATAGTCCTAAATGAGATCCCTGCGGTACCCCAGATGGAACTGTAGTTGAGAAAGATATTGAGTTATCATATTTTACATATTAGACTCTGCAGGCAAGATCATGTTTAATCAATTTCAGAATATTGTCCTGAATACCCAAAACGTTTAGTTTATGCAACAACAAATTGTGATTTACTCGGTCGAATGCCTTTAAAAAATTGGTGAGAATAGAATCAACCTCGTGTCTTTTTCAAAGGCATTTATTATAACCTTATAAAAATAGAATGAATAAAAAAAGGACTCCAAACAAGTATACAGGGACTACCAGCGGAAACTATAAAAAAGCGACCCGAAGGAAGGGGAACAAAGATGAGTCGCCTCTTCAACTTTGTCAACACACACGGTTACGTGATTTCATCTCATCACCTTGGTAAACCACCAACTTTTTCTTTCATTCGAACCGACGACTGGGCGCGACTCTACCCGAACCTCAAGTTCAGTGACAACATCCACAGCCTACCTGGTCTCCCGCGGCCCACCTGAAACAACTTTTCCTTTCGATCGCGGATCGCGGTGGACGGCGACTTTGCGAAGGTGCGCGTGATTTTAGTTTCTCGAAGAGCTGATACCGACAAAAGAGTTTCGATCGGCAATATGGTGACCCCTGCTCGGTTCGTGAATTGAAGTTTTCGTGTTTTGTGCGCTCAGTGGATTCGAATCAACAGGTGGGATTAAGCAGCACCTCCCGTGGTATATCTACATGTGAAACTTCTGCGGGCTGAAACTTCGTTTTCTTCGTAGGAACTTTCCAGCGGTAAGTCTTCGGGTTTTTGTTTTATTTGGGAATTCACAGACGCGAACCTTGATTCTTTTTGCGCTTGCGTGGATCCCTGTTTCGTTGGTGTGATGACCTTACGTGAATTTCTGTTACTTGCCTACGCTGTCGTTGACATCACCCTGGACATGCTGTTGTTTTTTTGGTTCAAATTGCATCGCCTTGTTTGGAAGACTCGTTTCAAGAGCGCATCACGAGTTGATCGCCGATGTATTTGTGTCAACCAAGTAACTAGACATTAATTATTAATTACCAGGCAGGGTTTACATAATGTTATTACTATTAATGTACGTGTGTTAATGAGGTGATTGCTGTTTCTCATTAGTGACCTTCGCGATATATGTTTCATGTTTTGGTTCTTTTTCCGATATGAATACGCTACTTTGAAAACTATTATACATACAGAATGTCTGAAAGAAATTGAAATAACAAGCTTCAATTGGAAAATATTATATTTCTGTCAAATTGAAGAAATTACTTGCTATGGATTGTTGTTTTTCGAGATGGCGACCCTGAAGATGTCAGCCATTCGTTCTTAAGAACTTGGAGCAACTATTCCGAAAAATGTCAACTACACCAGAACTTATCTTAAATGCTTTACTCAATTTCAACATTGTAAATAAAACAATTTGTTTAAGTGCCCATCAAGACAAAAATGGCGGAAAATTATATGTATCTAAATAACGATTTGGTTTTAGAAGTAATAGATCTACATCAGATACAGGCGTCTCCAAATCTCAGCAAAGTATTTGATTGTTTGCCACAATATCCTCATAAAATGTTAAAACTTTATATCATACTAAGTGACAAAGAAAGGAAAACACCCATTTATATTGAAAACATTTCAATAATGTTTTGCATGTGTATTTCATGTGTATTTATGTTGAGGCCAGTAAAATTCCAGCCGTATGGGAAGCTATTCTGACCAGTGTTTAACGGTTTGTTTTGTGTGAGCAGTTACCATTCCTCGAATTTTTATTCTCATTTGTGCTTTAACTATTGAAGAGTTTATTGTGAAGTGTTTCGTATTGTTAACACTATGCCTCGAGCGCGAAGACTTAGTCGTATTCCTCGTATTCCTCAACTTAGTGATTTCGGGAGAGGACGATTTGTTGGCTTACGTGAGGCAGGTTTTTCAGTTAGAGAAATTTCAAAAAGAACCAATAGATCTTTGCGTACTATTCTATGATATTATCAGGCATGGACCGAAGAAGGCCAAGAACACAGAGCTAGGGGCAATGATCGTCGCAGGGGAACAAGGGCGCAATTGCTAGTCAGTGGTTTGAAGACACGAAAGGTTCTGGAATGCGTACAGTATATTGGCGAATAAGAAGTTTTGGACTCTTTTTTTATCATCCCTATTGGGTGTTGCCACTGACTCGAGCATCAATGCAACCGATTGTACTGGTGCAGAGACAGAATAAATTGGGATCAACAATGGAACCGCGTAGTCTTCAGCAATAAATATCGCTCTTGTTTGGGTATGCACGATGAACGAGCAAGAGTATAAAGGCGTCGTGGTGAAAAACGAGATCCTCAGTTTGATAGTGGAGACGCATTTTCACCATACTGTTGGTTTAATAGTATGGGGTGCCATTGCATATGGTAGCAGGACACCTTCAGTCTTTATTAGAGGCAACATGACAGCTCTTCGTTACTTTCACGAAGTCCTTCCATATCTTGAGGCTATGGAGAACCCCATATTTCAACAAGACAATGGTAGACTGCATGTGGCTAGAGTAACTCTAGATTTCATGGATCAGCATGATATTAACCGCTTGCCATGGCCACCCAGATCGCCCGATCTTTCACCGATCGAACATGTGTGGGATATTCTTGGTCGCAGACTGCTGAATTTACAACAGCCCCCACAAACTATGGCAGCACTTAGACATGAGTTAGAAGTAGAGTGGAATGAAGAATATGTGAGTAGGATAAGACAGGATAGTCCAAATGATTTAATGTGACCACTAACGATTATGATATTAGATTAGATATTGATGCTGCTGGCGGTGAATTCGTTGAATAGATTAATAAATCGCTGCTTGTACGCAATGGATTTTCAGCACTTGAAATACTGGAATTGGTGTGTTGCTGCATCGAATTGTGCAAGATTTCACTGATGTCGATAGTACGATGTTTACTGTTCACTTACAGTTTCAAGTAAAAACTTGAAAATTATCATGTATTTTTTATTGATTTTAAAAATATCCGGCTCGAAGGACCAATGTTTTGACCCACGATTATCTTATCGTTAGCATGAATGCTTATTGCACACAAAAATTACAATAACTCTTGTGAAAATATAGGATAAGAAAAATAACCTCTTCTGTTGAACAGTGCCGACTGCTTCTGATACAATTTTTGGTACATTTCGTCGATTTCCCCACAATAGGACTCTGCTGTGATGGTTTGGCTCAATTGCAGAAAGATATAGTGAATCAAACCAGCCGCTGACCACCATAACCATGGCTTTCTGGTGTTTTTTTGCCTCTGGGATGTGCCTGGGTACCTCATCGGTATCCAGGCACTGTCCTGAATGTCTTCTGTTGTCGTAGAGGATCTATTTCTCATAACATGTGACGATCCGACCCAAAAAAGGGTCTCACAAGAGCAAAGAAGAACAGACTTCGAAACGTGACAATTTCTCCAAGCCTCTTTTGAATAAAACCCAGAGAATACTCAATTCAATGAACTGTTTATCATGTTATGTGACTAATTCTTATCTTGTGCTAACCAATATGAAGTATTCGGGTATATATTCTTCAAAAAAGTATGTTCGTTTTTCAAGGCTGAAGTCATATTAGCTATTTGAATAGATGTTTTTAACAAACTGCTCTTGGGACATGAACAGAAACTCTTTGCTAAATAAAATTGAGAGAACACCTGATTCAGGTCACATTTATTTCTGAATTATGTAGCTAATTGATTCCTTGAAGAGTAATTATCAAGAAGCAACGCTTGTACTTTTGCCAGCCAAAATGACTTCGAATTCTAATTGATATGATCCGTGTCCAGAGTTCCACTTTTCTCACTAAGTTGCTCGTCAATCGATTCAAAACGTAAAATACGTTTTCGGTCAAAGTTTGGTTTTTTATTTGAAATAGTCCCAGGTTTTACGAGGTTACTGAGCTCAAAAGAGACACAATTTTTCGATAAAAATGTGGATCTTCCTCCGCGCTTTGCCAGCGCCCATTCACCAAATGTTAGACCTTATAAAATACAACTGCAATTCTTGCACCGATTGTATCCTATAAGGTTTCACACCCAAATCCTTTCGCAAAATTTTCCACATAGTGGAGTAACAGCGGTCCTATTGCTGTGAACGGCGGCGAATCAACAGTTCACGGTCATCACGAACACTGGCGGATACAGCCGCAATATTTTCTTCTGTCCTCACTCTACGTATGCGTGTTGGTGGTTTAATGTCCAATAATGTAAACTGGGTTCGGAATTTAGTCACCAGCTTCCGAGTAGCTACCTCAGTAGGCCGACGAAACTGCCCATAAATTGAAAGAAGTACACTTTCCTCACCGAGCATGAATTTGAAAATGAAATTCAATAATTTGCAAGCGTTGTTCATTCGTAAGTCGATTCATGGTTAAATTATAGACCAAACTGAACAAATTTGACAATGACACAAGACACGAATCACGCGTGATCTGTCAAAAACAATGTTGCCAAAAAGATACCAGCAAAAAATCACTCATTAGTTCTTTTAGTTCTTCAAAGTAATAATACCTACTGTTGAAACGAAACTGAAAAATGTCTTGTCGATTCTCCAAAGTGGAACCATTGTCTCCTTTCGTTTTGCTGGAACGTTTCTGAATATCTCTGTGAAACCGGTTATTTCTTGACGTGAAATTTTTGTAAGAATAATTGAAGATGTCGAAATAATTCATTCAGAAACTAATGGATTTTTGAGAATACTGCAATGTTTGTGCCAAATCATCTTGATAAAAAGTTTCCTGTACTGCATAATTACACACACATCACAATCTCACAATTCATAATGGGAGATATAGTGTTAAAATAAAAAGTAATAACAAAACTGATTCTGAAATTGGTTCCATACATTCTCAAACAGAACTGATAGTTAGTTCTAAGTCTCGCATAAATATTCACCCGTATAAAATAACGAATTCAATACATGATAAAAAAATTAATATCGTAATTATAAAAAAAACTGGAAGATTCACTGATGAATGAAAAACAGATTCACGTTTTCATCGCAAACGAACCTCAGATGTTAGTTTGTATGGTATTTAACCTCTGAAGTAATACTACAAAATCCCAAAATTTCATCGATAAACTTCCATTTTTCAACTAAAAGTTTGTTATCAAGCAATATTTCGAGTTTTAAAAAAGTGGATGTTCATGTAAGATTTTTTTAGGTTCTATGTATTCCTAAATTTCATTTCCTTCAATAATCACAGCTTAATTCACCGATATGAAAACAAAATATCAATTGTCAAATTTGTTTGAAAGTACAATAATCATAGACACAATGAGTTTGACCTTCCTTTTGAAGATGATCACTTGGTGTTCGAAACACATGTCGAGGTGTTAAAATAATGGCTTGGTGTTGCTGAAAAACTCCAGTAATATTCATAGACACAATGTCCGATGGAATATAAACAAATTAAGTCCCATCACCGATAACGATACTTTACACTCCGTCTCTAGTATTCCTTTGTCCATGGTTTGGGCTCAAGTTAAAGGATTCATCGCAAGGAAAAATAATACCTTCAAACTGTGTGAAGTAAATAAATGCCTATACAGACGAATTATAATTACAAATTATAATGTTTTGATTTAAATAGGTTGGATAAAGAAAATGGATAGTCTTCAAAACATCACCAGATGATACATAATTTTATAAATTCAAGTTACTAACAAAATCTATCGTGCTTCGACATAAGATCGCAGATCCAAGTCACCTGACTTACTTGACGCAGCTAGATGCATTAACTGTACATCGCGTATTATTTTCGTTTCCAGTGAAATTGTTACTATACAGATTAATGTTTCGATTTGTATTAAAATTGGCATATCGTATCAATAAGTTTCGATTAGGATCTATTAAAAACACTTTCCCAACACTTTCCCAAAACAAAATTACTGTTTCTCGGCGCACGTTTCGTTAACCAAGTTAGCATCCTCAGGAGATCATTTTTCATAATGTCATTAGTCATAATGATCTCCTGAGGATGCCAACTTGGTTATCAAAACGTGCATAATTTTGTTCTGCTGTTGGGAAAGTGTTTTCAATAGATTCATTTTAAGTCAGAGGTTCTGAGACTTTTCAGACACCCGGTATATTTCTCATCTGTTCCATTACATCAAAACTGTTTTTAAGAAAACAGCGCTCACTGATCAACTTGATCGTTATTAATAGAAACTGATTTGAGTAGAAGCATTTGAACACCCAGTAAAATTTAAATTCTATGGAAACTACTTCGAAATTCATTCTCAAGATACCGAAAACAAGTTTATGTATTGATGTCTGTGAAAGGTATTTGGTTCCACAAACAAACGGTACCACATCAGCCTTAGAATACAAAAGTAAATCTAATCTCAGTTTATATCACAGTTTATACAACGGTATACTAACACCAAAAACAAGAACCAGTTTTTCTTGATGCACAGCACAAAAAAAAGTTGAACAAATATGTTGCCAGTCTGGCGGAGATACAGGTCAAAAAATCTACTACTTTTCACAGTTTTAGGTTGTTTCAGGAGTTTTGTCCGTTATAATGTAATGTGTTTTTATATCACCATATCTTGTGTGGTGGTATATTTACGAGTACTGATCGTTAGGGAAGTTTGTACTATATACATTGATACTGTTATTTTTTCAATTTTTAAAAAGATCAGAGAGCCCAAGAAGATAATTTTTTTAGATCGGATCGTGACGTGAAAACTGTATACTGTACGACAACAGGAAACGTTTAGGAAAGAAGTTGGACACCAATGAGCTACCTAAAAACTTCCCAAAGGCGAAAACTCAAGTTACTATATGTAACTATATATAAGGTGGTCTGCGGCTGGTCATTATAATTTTCATCAACCGGAAATCGACAAAATGTACCGAAAATTACATCAACAGCGGCCGACACTAGTCAACAGATTAGGGTCCGATCCTGCTCCACGACAACGCCGGTTCGCACCGTCCGAAAATTAAAGGAATAGAGCTTCACCCACCCTACACCCCAGACCTCTCGCCAATCGACTACCGTATTTTCAAGCATTTCGGTAACTTTCTCACCGGTAGAACCTTCACCAACCAGGACCAGGCAAAAACGCCTTATGGGTTGTGGTTAACAACAAAAAAAAGTCAAACAAGTAAACGGCACCAGATTCTAAATATTTAAACATGAAGTTTTTTTAAAACTTTCGGATCTACCAGATCTACTCTGTAACTGAACAATTCTATAAAGCAATTTTACCATGGGATACTTTCAAATATAGGTATATGGGAGATTTAACCAATGATTAATCTTGAATATAGTTTATGTAGATTATCTCATTTCCATCGATTGTACATGTCTAAAAAACTATTTTTAAGAATGTAATGTTTCTACATAGAGAGTTATTTGAAATATGTTTAAAATGTTACAAATATGTTATAAAATCTATCTTTGAGAAAATTGATTATATACAAAATATATTGGGCTTCACTCCCACCATGCTTCTGATGATTTTTATGTACCATGAATATCTTATTCAGGTAACAGTTACAATCTAATATTCCCCAGAACCAGAACATTCCATAGTATGCCATAGTATGCCAATAAATGATCATTGGGTCCGAGAATCATATGCCCTGAGCAAGCGCAGTGAGCCAAGTAAGATTTCTGCCTTAGTGCGGCAAGCCGGTATGATTTTAAGATTCCAGAGTGGGGAGAACATCACCAAGGACTCCAATAATCAGAACAACCATCTTGACAGAGTGATCTGGATAGAGTCTGCGGAGTTCGAAGAGAAAATCTCGATATTTTATCCGTTTTTGCTTCCTTTTCTGACGATATTTGTCTCGCCAGGACAAATATCGTCTTGCTCATTAGCTTGTTAGGTTTATTAGCTTGTTATTGTGTTTTGTTTATTGTTTCACATGTCATAAATATTAGTTTCACAAAGTTCTGCCACTGCTGTTGGTGTTTTGCTGATTATTAAAACGATAATTGGAATCAAAGTCTAAACTTTTTGGTAGTGGACTAGCTGACTATAATCATCATCGTCATATCTGGATTTGAAGTTATTAATGAATTTGTTATTGATTATATGGGGTATTGGCCCGTTTATGAAATTTTCCAGAAATTTCTGGAAGTGCAAACTAATGAAATTCACTAAGAAATATTGTCAACCACCTTCAAACAACGTTGATTTTTTTTTCATGGAAATGAGTTATAGCAGAATAACTTATTGCATGACCAAGAATAGTTAAGTAGTAATTAATTTCTAAGGAACAGCACTATATTTTGGTTCACTTGTGAGGTGTTTATCAAAAATACATATCTCTATAAATTCATAGCGCTTGATTTTATTTTCAGGTGACAATGGGAAAACTCAACATTGCCTCCGTTGCCTCCTTCACCTCAGTTGCTCTCGTTTTTCTATTGGTGAGTTACTTTTTTATCATTTCAATGAACAAAAATACGCCATGTCAAAAAACTGTAAATTTATGATTATTGACTTCAGTGAATAACAAACAATTACTGTCTTTTGTTGCTTTTCATTCTTCATGCTTCATATATACAAATTCTGAATGGACAAGTCTGTGTAATACCTCTTTTAAAAGACCTTTCAACTTTCTACTGTTTATACATCGACAAAATTATAGTTATCAGCTTCATATCAGGGTAGAATATATATAATCGCCACGATTTTTTGCATACATGCTTGACGGAATTTGCTGCAGTTTTTCCATCAGGTATCAGACATGGGTGCCTTTTTGTCAATAAACCAACATTCAAACGACAAAAGATTTTTACAGCGAACAAGCTGCGCCTGTAAAAATATCGCCTAATTACAGAGGCGCAATGGACTTATTTCGTGATTTTTGGTTTACAGTTCAGTTGATAGTAAGTTCAAATTGAAAAAGAGTGCACTTTGTTGCAGCTTTCTAAATACCGTTATTCTCCCATAATTAATTGTTGAAAATGGGATTTTCTAGGCCCATGACGTCACGGGCCTACTCCCGCGTCTTGTTCGATTGACCAATACAAATAATCAACATTGCCAAATCTTAAAATTCACGGAGTGTATAAACAGTTTCGGGTTCATTCGTGATTCATAGTAAAATCACAGCCACTTTCGACAACTGAATCTAAAAAACAAGTTCAAGAAATGCATTGGGAGAGAAAATTAATCATGCATGGGATCCAAATAACACAAAACGCAATAAAAACAGTGTTTCCATAGTATCTACGGCAGTAGATATTTTTATGTTGATATCACAGAAATGGAAGTAAGTGTATATGAACCCGTTAACTTTTATGTTGATGAAAAAAGTTTCGACATGAAATAAAATGTACACGAAAACCATGGTTGGAAATGACGTAATAACGTAAACGTTCTTTAATTACAAAATTATAACAAACAAATCGGATTATAACAGTTGTATTCACACTGAGTTGACAACAATCACAACAAAAATGGCGTCTGTCAAATTGGATAACTGTGATTGGACATTAAAACCCAATACACTTGGCAACACCGTTGGAGACATGATGAATTTTATTGGTGAACACAGACGAGGCCAATTTAAACTCTGCTTTTCGAATTGTTCTTTTTTCTGCAAATATAAACAGATATTGGGACCGATTACGCTTGATAAATATAATATACCCCTAACTCGATCAGTCTATAAGCGAACCAGTATCGTTTTCAATAACATGAAACAAACCCATTATGCCAGTGACGTAAATCGTATCAGCTTTGTTAACGTTCACTAAAAATACAAATAAAGAATGAACGAAAGTAAAAAATGCACAACCACAGAATTTAAAATTAACGTTTCGACAGTCCCACCGGTTGTAGTATATTTTTCAGGAGGGGTAAAACAACAGTTTTCAAAATGTTTGAAAAACAAGAACATTTGGAGAATGATTTATTCCCTCTGTCAATACCAAACTGGCTTCAATTTCATTCCAGAATCTGTTCAATTAGGAAAAGTATTTTTCACTCAATAAGATGTTCACATAATGCATGTGACATCATTCTCTTCTTTTGATTAATGAATCTCAACTTTCTAAATTTCAGAGTTGCACGAGTTCAGTCGTACAAGCAGCAAACATTCCACAAACAACAAGTAAGTACCCACAACAATAATAAATATTAAGTAAAGAATAAATATACGTTTCCAAAAATATTTAAAAATCAACAAGTATTTCTTATGAAATAAATATAGAAACACAGAAGAGCAAGTCTTAAGAGCGTTACATACTCATACGATTCATGTAACCAATCATCTCCTGATGTTGCCAACTTGGTTATCGAAAAGGAATTAATATATTAGTAAAAATAGTTTAATTATTATCTATTATCATCAAGTAGCGGGTCAGTCTATTCATAATTCACTCGTTTGAAAGTAAAGATAATGTAAAACCCAGGAAGTGAACAAAATCCATTCTAACGATTTTATTTCGTGCATTTCTCAGTGACAACACATGGCGTTAATCACCATTCGATTATATACCTTTCATTTCGCACACCGCTCCCTGTTTGATTGAAAGTGAAGTGAAATTTAATATTCCTAATACAACAGAAAAACATTTCATAAGTATCTATCAAAAACACTTTTCCCACAAGAACAGAAATACTGTTTCTTGACGCGCGTTTCGCTAACTAAATCAGCATCACCAGTGGTTCCAATGCTACCTTTCAAGATTTGATGCATATTAGTTTTTTTAGTGTAGGATTTAAAACTAATTTTTAATTTATTCGTATTTCGCAATCTACTTAGATAAAAGATCCGTTCAAAGTTTACCAACTTTCGCCAATATCCTTGATTATTCGTTTCCAAATATTTTTTATGGGTTTTGCTTCATTGACAATGTATATGATCACATAGGTACATGAAAAGATATTTGTTATCTCATATATTTTTTGTTGACAATAATTTGAACAAAATTTGGGAAAACTGAACTCCGGAAACATGTCTTCAAGAACCAGAAAGACATGTTATAACATAATTTTAGTGCGTATTCGCAGTATAGATTTGGTTTCGTTGACCTGAAAGACATCCTAAATTTTGGGTAGAATTGGAACCTCTGGAGTGGAAAGAATCTATTGAAATACTTTGCCACACTAGAAGAAAATATTGTGTCTCAAGAGGTAGTGTTTTGTTCTGGTGTGGAAAAAGTGTTTTCTATAGATTCATATTGTCCTAAGAAACAGTATTTTGATCTGATTTGAGAAAAGTATTTTACTAGATTCATTTCACATACTGCTCCGATAGATAGTACTTTGTTTTGGTCTGACGAAAATGTTTTTATTCTATTGTGGAAAAATTGTTTTTGGTAGATTCATTTTACATATTGCCCCATTAGATAGTACCTTGTTCTGGTGTGAAGAAAGTGTTTTTTGTTCTATTGTGAAAAATTGTTTTGGTAGATCCATTTCACAGAGACAGTATTTTGTTGTGGTGTGAGAAAATTATTTTACTAGATTCATTTTACATATTGCCTCGATAGATAGTACTTTGTTCTGGTGTGAAGAAAGTGTTTTTTGGTTCTGTTGTGAAAAAAGTGTTTTTGGTAGATTCATTCCACATATTGTCTCACGAGACAGTCATTTGTATTGTGGTGGAAAAAAGTGGTTTCAATAGATTCATTTCACATATTGTCTCAAGAGACAGTATTTTGTTCTGTCGTGGAAAATGAGGTTTCGATAGATTCATTATACATATTGTCTCACGAGATAGTGTTTTTTGTGGTGTGAGAAAAGTGTTCTGCTAGATTCATTTTACCTACTGTTCCTCAAGAGACAGTATTTTGTTTTGGTGTGAGAAAAGTGTTTTACTAGATTCATTTTACTCATTGTGTGTAATTAATAGATTCATATTGCGCCATAGTTTCCAGTTCTACCTATGAAGTAGGTAAGAAATCGAAAATCTTTTTCAATAACCCCCACTTCTGTTTAAAAAAATTGGGAATGACACCCCCCACTTAGAGAGTTGAAGGTTTTGGATCAAAACTTACCCACGTATTTTTGGAATTTTGCGAAAAGTCCTTTCTCTGGTAGTCATGATTCATATTATGAATAGACTGTCCATTTAGCACTATCCAAGAAAATAATTGAACAATTTTCACAAGCATTTTTTTTATTTCTAAACCCAGTTCGCTAAAACTGTAGATTCATCGGTAGTAATAGTACAATTCATATACAACAATGATTGATTGAGGGAGATAAATTGTCCAATTTTGTGAAAATGTTTGTGAAATTCGTTTAATTATATTATCATCATGAATAGAGTTATGATCTATGTTACATTTTCGAAAGTCCACCCTGAATGTATTGAAGAAAACTTCTGTATGGTGTGGACTTTGTGTGTTTATGTATAGTCGAAGTAAACGATATTGTGCACTTTTAAAGTCAGCGGCAATCTCAAAGGCCAAAAAAAAAAGAATACATAGAAATGAACCGGCAGCGAACTAGTCCACGTGGACTGTAGAATTGGCGGTTCGCATTGGATAATTTTTACTAGCCGAGTTTTATGATTGGCTGAAGAGTCATAGAATTGAATTGGAAGTCATCTTACGGTGGCAAATAGAAATTGGGGAATGCGGCCTTGGTTATCGCCGTCGTGTTCAGTTCAGGAACTGATCGCGATTTGAATATTGAAATTCGATATTGTTGTAACTGTATGTACAATAGTCAAAAACCTTATGAACGCAAGACGCGATGTGATACAGGATTACCAAAACCTTTAGATATTCATCTGATAAAATCATGGAAAAAACAATATACAACTGTTACAAAAGCAATGAAATTCCTTCAATTGAAATCATAATGAAGAAATTGAATACTTCCGACCATAACGTGAGCTGCTGTGACAAAACTCTTCAGAATTGGATAAAGAAACTAGGATTTAGATTTAAAATATCTAATAAACAAACATCAAGCAGAGTTATGGAAAGCAGAAGAATAGTTGGATTGCGTAACAAATATTCAAAACAAATAACTTAATATAGACAAGAACAACGGTAAATTTTCTACGATATACCGTCGGAATGAAATATTTTTCCGACCTTTACTTACACTATTTGATATATCACTGAAAGTCAGATATATCTTCATGAAGGTGTTGAAAGAGGATTCTTCTATTCTACGTAGAAAATTGCGCAAACCTAGATCAATCAAGCCCACCCATTCTTATTTTGCTTTAAAATTCTACTTGTACACAAACGAAAGTGAAATTCGGGTCAAGATATATCTGTAGGTATAAAATAAAACACTCGTCGTATGTTATAGTCGCCAATCGAATTCAGGAATGATTTCACTTTTCTCGTTGCATTATGTCACACTCCTGAGGTGGCCTCCAAATGCTAATATTGTTATAATCAGTGGCGGTACCTAAGCTGCTATACCAATCAGGTACTTGATTACTTCTGGTTGCGGTAAATTTTCGGTTCATGAGTTTCATCGGGTCACTTGTTTCGTTGACTGAGGGTTCGATTGCAGTCACTTGATCCATTATGTAACATAATCGTAGACATAATTCAAATCTGAAAAATAGTTTCAAGGTTTCAAATTGTCCGTTTTTATGAAAAGTTTCCGTCTTGAATATTTCTCTTCTTCTTTGTTCTAGAAAATATGGAATGAGTTCAGTTTTATTGGGTTGGCAGGAAAGTTCGTAGGCTGACTCACAGATGGCGCTACCAGTATTGAATCCATATGATTTTTAGTTAACCCTAACCTTCAAAAGATACGTGTACAAATTTCACAGCTGTCGGATTACTAGTTTTCGAGATACAACATTTTGAGTGAAGCAACTTTTGTTGGCTTGAAGAAAATGGATAAAAAGGAACTTCGTATGTTAATAAAAACTACTGTTGAAGCCAAGGCTCACTTACAAAAATACAAAAGTGTTAAAGTTATTTGTTCACAAAACAGAACGATTTATTTAAGAGATAACTTCAATAGGTTATGATAATTCGGTTTGTGAACAATTCTGTATTTGATGTTATTCGTAAGCTGCTGACATGGATTTAGCGAAGCATATTAAACCCCTAACCAGTGAGTAGGAATGGCCCATGTGGAAAAAGAAAATCTGCAATCTGCTAGACTATCATGAAAGTGAATTGGATGCTATTGATAGAAAACTGGTAAAACCGTCCCAATTACCAGAAGGTGCTTCAGAAGTTCAGAAATTTGATCTGTACCATAAAGCCAACAGTTATGCCAAGTCAATGATAACATCTGCAATAAGTGACTCCGTCTATCAGAAGATCATGGATAAGGAAACAGCCTTCGAAACCTGGGAAGCGCTAAAACAACAGTGTGAAGCTACATCAAAAGATCAGTTGTTCAAAATCTGTACCGATTTTTTCGCATCTGTCTGGACGTCAGGAGATGATGTTTCTACTCACATAGCAAAGTTACGGAGCTTGTGGAATGAACTCAATAATGAACTCAAAGCAAAGAATCAGCCAGGACGATTGCTGTAACTTTTGTAGGTAAATTTAAAGGACACTCAGTGAAATTTTGTAAGAAGTGGATAGCATAAGGACGACTGTCAAAAAACAAAGAAGATACTTCAAAAAATGATAGTGCAACAGTAGCGCTCATGAGTTTATGTAACGAAGTGAATTCTTTTGAAACAATGCCACTAGAATGGTGGATAGATAATGAAGCCATAAAGCATGTTACAAATTGTTTGGATATGTTTGTTAGTTTTGAACAATTTGAGAGTTCTTGTTCCATTGAAGCAGCTGGTCAGCAGAGAGTCTCGATGCACTCAAATTAAAACAAACCCAGATGGAGGTGTTGAAAGTTATAAGGTCAGGCTGGTTGCTAAAGGATTCAATCAGCGTCAGGGTACCGATTATAGTCAAACATTCAGTCCAATGGCGAAGAGGAACCATCCGATCTGTTCTGAATATTGCACCAAACCAAAAGATGCATCTTGCTCAATTCGTTATTGGGGCCTTTGAATGACAAAATCGCTGAACGAAAAAACGGGATCATTTAAAGAAAAAGAAAGTGCTGCTTCATCAAGACAATGTACAGTGTCACATATCTATTGAAACGATGGCAAAATTGCATGAATTGAACTTCGTTGGATCTCTATCTAACAATTTCCTCAAA